GATGTACTTCAGATGCAAAGAATGTGGAAGAGCTAATAGCTGAGACCCCCCTCACGAAGTAATATTTAGCGGTGGTGTAGCGAGGGACAAGGCACGGATAATTAGAGCTAAAAAGAGGAAAACAGGGTTTTTACTGGATAAAAATCCCAGATCTGCTTTTAACATCTCTTTACCAGAATTTTCTGAAGATTTTCCCAAACCTCTATAAAAACAAAACACACATACACACACACATATGTCTTCACATGTCTGAACATGTCTTCAAAATTGGTTGAAAATGATTCTAAACGTCAAGAAACGTGGACAAATCATGAAAATTCTACGTTCGATTTCCGGGGTCATTACTATAACTACCCGATAGATCGGGAATTTAAAAAATTCTGCGTATTCTTTGCCTTTTTGCTAGTAAGTTTACGGACGTTGATGCCAAGAAGTTGAGTTATTGAGTTACAAAAAATCATTATTACATTTGGACACTGCGAGACGTGTAAAATTCCATAAGAAATAAAACTTCGTGAAGCACAGCTTAAAAATATTTTTAAAAATCTGTAAAAATTCACGTGGGCTGCTGATTTTTTTTAGCTATCTTTAGAGGGATCGGAACCATAAAATTCATTACCTTCCTCTCGTAGGCCTGCCTACTACCCATGGAACAACAAAGACACACAAATGGAGTATATTTTTGCCGGAAGGAAGTCCATTCATAATCCTGAATCGAGTATAAAATATACCTGAATCAGGAATAATATACCGGAATCACATATATTTTATACTCAATTCAAAATTATGAATCGACCTAATTTCGGTATTGACATTATCGAGATACGGCAGCGTATCGGCCAAGAAAAGTTTTGACTCCGATTGTACAAAACATCAGGCCGATCGCTGCCGTGTATTTATACATGAAGCAACTACCCCCTCCACTAGCTCCGAATCATATTCATTAAATAAAACACAAACGTGACGAGCTACATGAAAAATACTCTTAGTTACATTATATAAATTGGCCACAAGCTTCTCATTGATGTAACTATTTTTTTGTTCGAAGCAATATTTAAAAAAATACGCGCATAGCAACGGGTTCATATGCACATTCTCGCATTTCACATCAACTCCTATCATTTTTTTGTTACGGAGTTGGTAGCAGTGCAATACAACCACACGCACCAAGGAGGGAAGCCCGGAAATTTACAAATTGAATATGGTGCACGAATGATGAATTCCACAGATATTTTTCGATCGAGTATCGTGCACAAATGAATTCTCGAAGAAGCAAATTCAGCCGAATAATCTTGAATAAATAATTAAAAGTCGGTGCAAATAACGACAGTGGAATAGAACTATTTGTTTTACTTCGATTGTTAATTGGAAAGATGATTTATCGTGTGAAAAATAAATGAACCGAATTGAATTGAAAATGAAAAAATTTACAGGATATAAAAACGATTCCTTGTTTATTTTGAAAAAAATAATGAAATCTCCCTAAAAAAACAAAAACAAATGTTTTTGTAAAAAAACTGCGCCAAGAAAAAGTTTTGTTTGGTTCTTACTAGGAAGTAGAAATTTTTGAAAAATACAAAGAAATGAAAATGAAAGCCAAGTCAGCAATGTCGAATAAACGAAAATAGTGCACAATCATATTTCTATAAGTGAAATTGTTTCAAATCGAATGAGGATTTTTAAAAAATTCTTGATGAAATAAAAAATTAGTAGAAGGAAGACCAACGCTCTTGGCGCGGAGTTTTTCAACTCATTGTCTAGTATCAATCTAATTCTCCATCTTCTGATCCTTAAATGACCCCATGTTCCTCTAAAAAAATAAACAGGGGTTCGAGCCTATCCGACAGAAGGAGTGTGACCCTTACTTGTTGCGTTATTAGTCCTTTTTTTTTTTTCTACCAATTCCATTGGTAGTCCGCTTCCGAATGGATCCGTAGCAATTACCTACCTTTTGATCGCCATACAACCGTACCGCATACTACAGGGTGTCTACAGAAAGATATTCAACCTTTTAATAAATTTTGTGACAAAAACGATTTTCAGATGAATTGTTCTATGCCAAAATGTATTGAATTGATCGGACCGAAATTTTACACACTAGTGTGGCTCAATGGTATTAATTATGACCAAAAATTTTGAATTCTATTTCCGTCTTCTACGTGTATTGTGGAATGTTAAATCAACTCTGAGATGAAAAATTAGAAAAACGCGAATATCTCTAAAACTTTATATGAACGTGTATCCATATTTTGAATGATCTCAATTGGGGATATCGAGCCGAGTACTTCGAAAAAAAAAATTCAATCCGCCGAGTAGGCTCCTGACCAATAGATAGACGGTTAAGGAAAATTTGAGGTTCTTTAAAGGATTTAAAATAGTTAGGTTACGCATGTGAATACCAGACGGGGGCTATGCAGCGAAAAATATATCACTTTTGATTAAAAAACAATAAGTTGACGGGAAAAAATGGAGCCATAAATACTAAAATAGAGGAAAAGTGGGAAATAGCTCAAAAGCCCAATAGATAGACCATGGGACCGGAAGATAGACGGTAGAGTACCAATAGATGGACCGTCTTGAAGAATGTATCATTTTTATCGAGTTTGCTCAAACACGTGATGTTTTTTTTAAAATTAAATATAAAGAAATAGATGGGAAAACAGATTATTAATCTTTCGGGCATAAATCTGCGTTTGACGATGTCATTTTATTATCTGAGTTTGACTCTCTATCAACAGATTTGTGTTCTTTGTTCTTCCTCCTTTTCCCAGGTACATATTGAGCGTTGTTCTCTTGTTTGATTCTCAATTTTTCTGTTTCTTCAATAGTTTCTCAGTTTCAATCAATAACATTAGAAGTCACAAACAATTTGAAGAGTAATCGTTTAACAAGAAATAAATAGCCAAGTTTCATTCGTTATTGAATATGCAATCATTTCCAAGCAAAATTAGAAGATCGTAAAAATCGAGAATTACAAAGCTTCCGTTCGGAATAAAAAAATTCAGAAAAGCGATCCTAAACGGATATTTCTCTCATTCTGGGTTCATTCCTGCTCACCATTTGATTAAAAAAAATAATGAGGAGATGGAAAGGGAATAAAAAGGATATACATCAGGAATTTAAAAAAATGGGAGGAAAAATATATAAAAGGTATATTAAATGAATAATTCTGATATTTTATATTTTTATTAACCCTATTTCAAAGTTGAAGCCGAAAAATAAATTAACAAATCGAATATGAAAGGGACATGACTCGGTACACAGAAATTAACAAAAAATGGACAGAGAACAGATAAAAAAGGGATAAAATAATGAGAGAAGAACAGGAAAAATATAATTATAGGATAAATATGGCAACAACATAACATGGAAAAAGATAAGATTTCTCCAGTGAGAAATCGGAAGGATAATGAGAAACAAGGATAATGAGAGGATGAAAAAAGAATAAAGAAAATGCAAATTTCAAGTACAAGTATAAAAAGTATAAAAAAAGGACGACGGATGATATAACAAAGATATCAGTTCAGTATTTTTGATATTCTGTTTTTATATTTTCCTAATTTCTCAAATTCAGCATAAAAATCGAACGAGAAAAGTAGAATATGAAAAAGGGATATCAAAAAAGTATTTTGGTTTTCTTTTTTTATACTTTCCATATCAATAAAAATGTTCATGAGAGTCAGATTCAATTCGTTTTATGGAGTACAAAATCGTGAAATATGGAATTCCACTGAAAATTCAATGAAAAAGAACAAAAAACAAATTTTGCCGGAATTTCCGATCTTATGAAAAAAATCTAGAACTTTTGTCTCCGATTCTCACAAAAAATTCACTTAAAGCCCGCCCTAAATCCAATTGAATGCCACTATCATGGGCATCATCTGATTTATCCATGAAATTTTTCTTTTTTCCAACAAGGTATATGGGTGAATCTCAGTACTTTAGCAATTCCATGAAATTGAAGAAATTGATCGGACGAATTTTTGAAAGATAAAACTCTGACAGTTTAATGATTTTTACATACCATATATTCGATGTGTCTCTCATATCTACAATTTTTCCATTTTTTCACATGTCCTATATTGATTTTATTCTTATTTTTCTTTTGAGTTTTTTTATCCCTTCCTTTTTAATGAACAGGTGATCTTTTAAGAACACCGTTTTTAAATTTTCCTTCCCCTTTGTTCTTCAGTTTTTGCACCAAGTCTGATGTCACTTTTTTATTCTATTTTTCTTATTCCCTATTTTATTCATATGAAATTTATATTTGTCGGATATGAATATTTGCATGTAGGATGTAATACATGAAATTTGTCATCTTGCCTTGTGAAAAAACGACAGAAACGGTACGATTTCAACACATGAAGTTTTCATCAGTTCCTATCTGTCAAGACTATGTCCGTCTGAGACAATGTTTGGGATCTTTTTTTTTTGAAGTCTAAGCCATATTTGTTTACGAAAATAGAAAAAAACCCGACTTTCTCCGGTATGTAATGTAGCTTTGCTTTTTCTCCCTAGATCGTAGACAAAAACCCTAATTTTTCCTTCTTCGGAATACATAATTTAACTTCTAAATTTTCTTCCGAGAATGAGAAAACCCCAATTCATCCCAAGATTAAACAAAAATGAGTTCTGTTTAGACTTGATCAAGCTCCCATTGTATTTGCAATTTGTTCGTGAGTATACATCAATATGCATTACATGTTAAGAGAAATTACAAATCTCCTATTTTATTCGCATTTTATCTTGAGTTCGTTTAAGGAAATGACTGGAGCACTTCGAAAATAAATTCAATTTAATTCAATTTATCCTAACGATGTCCTATGACCGTGCATCTTTCATTTCACCCAAGGATCGGAATTTGTCGCGGATGCAAAATTTTCGAGAACTCAGCATTTGAAAACTTTATTGGCCGCACAATCAATGTTTCCATTCTAAGCTCTAGGCACAGTTGACTCAACAGTGTATAGAAAGAAATAAAACAATCTCTCTTTCCGTACCTGGATTAGAAATGTTATTCTGTCGAAATGGCATGGCGAAAAGTGTATACTCCAGATCCTTTATATGATTCTTCGTTTGAGGTATCGACGGTAGCAACTCCAATATATTACACCGTCACAGTAGCCAATATGCGATGAATAATCTTGAAGAAATCAATAAACTACATGGATTGTTCATTCCACAATATTTTTACTAAGAATACATTGCACAGGTGATGATGAATCGATTTTTTAGAATACACTGATCCAAACTCGTTTAACACCCAAATACACTCTTCACTAGTAACTTGACCGACACATTATTAATAATTACGTTCCCACTGAGAAATAGGAATCATCATAATGCTTTGCAATAAATACAACATAGAATTTCTCATTAACGATAATATCTTGATAAGATGAAACATATGTATTGTGTGCTCACTTCATACTAAATCGTGACCTGAAAATACCCTCTTGCCCCTCCATTGCTTCATGACAACGCTGCTAGGGGCGTGTCTTGCACTCCTCCATTCGGGAGCAACGGAGTACAATTATTGGCGGGTTTGAGCTCCGCCTTTTGGAAAAAATACTGAGGCGGTTCTTGCGACTGCTCACATTAACAAGGCATCTCTCAAAATCGATATCTGTAAGCTGCGAGATAATATTTGAAAGAGTGAAGTTGGATTAGGTTATCACATAATTGTTCGATATTTTCGAGTATTTTTTCTAAGAGTTGATGGATTTTCATGATAATCTATTAACATCAAGCTTTTACGACATTCTTACGGTTTTCGATGCGAAAAACAAATGATTTTTATAATTTTAATGAATCCATCGATTGGTAATAAATGTTTTCATTTGATAACTTGGAAGTATCCGAAAATTGCAAAAATTGTACATTTTGAGCCGATCTTGATAGATTCTATGAAAATGTTATCACACCTGCAGCAAAGTTGAGTGTGTCAATTTAACACGTTCTAAGTGTGTAGAACCATATATCATGATTTATTTCATTTTCTCATTAAATTCAATACTGCAATAATGTGTTTTAGTTCAATCTATATTTTTGAGATTCTTCTCGGTCACAACTAATGAGATCCAAATCTTTCGGAAGCTTCCTTGGTTATCCTTGCAATGGTACTCTTTCGCACTTTTTATTAAGATTTTTACCACAATCCTGTTATCAAATACTGTAGTTGCTTCTGTAGAAACGTTTTGGGTAAAATTGCTGAAGCGCTTTGGTTACTTCCTTTTCCTGAAGCAATGGAAAACAATGCGAAAAAAATTAGCATACACTGAGTTTTCCAACGGAATAGTCAATGGATATAATCAGGATTGCTCTTTCCTGTTCTTTAAATTGAATTTTCCTATTCCAATTATAATTGACAGACACCACACGTATGAAAAAAATCAATAGAAAATCTAGCGAATTTGCTAGAAAATTCTATTTGAATTCTAGAAAAATTCTATGGTGTTTCTATAGGATTTCTATTGAAATTCTATTGAAAAATTCTATTTATTTTTTGCGCTCATTTTATTGCATATTCGATGAGAAATAGTCAATAGATTTTGAATTACGGTTTGGAATTTTCTCTTGTTTTTTTTTCTAGAACGATGCTTGGGCATCAATGTTCTAACTTTTTCCCATTCTGTAATGTAAAATAAAACAAAACCCAGCCAAAAAAACTTAAGAAATTGTTCCCCAATAATTCTAATAGAAAAATGTCAAGAGAAAAATTCCAACAGAAATTCTAAATTTATTGACTTTTTCTTAACGAATATCTGATAGAATCAACGCAAAAAACAAACAGAATTGTTCAATAGAATTCCAGTAGAAATCCTATAGAAACCCCATAGAATTTCTATAGAATTGCAATAGAATTTTCTAGCGAAATCGCTAGGTTTTCTATAAAATTTTTTCATACGTACATTTATGAAAAAAATATATATACAAGGTGACAAATGGGAATAGGTGAAAACTTTTCCCTATATTTCCTTCTCCACTTTGTTACCAAGGATTGGGCTGTTGTAGGATAAAAATTGGAGCCTGGCAAATTCTGTCGGGACACTCCGAGGTCTAGTTCATATTCTTCAAAATGAGTGGGCTTACTGTCAAAGAAAAAGTGTATCTCATTGAATGCTATTATTCCCGAGGAAAAAATTACATAAATGGGGATAGAGGCTTTCGTTGTAAGTTTGGTAGTCACAGAATTGGGAGTAAAAACACTCTCAAATGATAGGAATTTTTTAGTTCTCCTGAACGATTTTTTTTTAGGTTAGTCCCCAATGAATTTTTTGAGTCAATGTGTTCTTTTTTGTAGGGTAATTGATAATTTTGTCAACCATGGTACCCTATAGGATTGTGGCCATGATCTTCCGGATCCATCTTACACAGTAACGACGGAAGAAGTAGTGGACAAGGTGAAAAAACATTTCAAAAATCATCCAACTGAATCAATACGCAAGGCGGCTGCGAAGTCAGAATTGAACTTAGAGACCCTACGTTGGATAATTAAACTTTTTCTCAAACATCATCCTTATAAAATCACTTCCCACCAATTGCTTACGCAAGCACCCTGGCGATCTCGCATTTACGGTATAGCGTAGATGTTCCGTAGATGTCTGTAAATGTGCATTTTTGGGCCTAAAAAACATGAAAATGATCGAAATACAGTGGAATAATGACTGGGAAATTAATTATCAGAAGATTGGTGTCAGTGATCACTCATTAATTGAATTTTTTGATGAATTTGAAGAAATTACTGCTATAGCAGTAATTACACTATAGTGTACTTAATGCCACTAGAACGTCGTGTGGGGGGGATTCTGCGAGTTGGCGGCAGCGCCGAATTACCGAGTAGGTCGGTCAAGTCAGCAGCACAGTAGCAGTCGCAGGCCAGCCGCCTGCTCAATGGGTTGACAGTGGGATAGCATCGGCCGGTTTTTTAAATTAATTTTTTAATGATTAATCAAACAATTGATTTTTGATGTGTCATTCTCAGAGGACACACACACGGGGGGGGGGTCGATTTTTGGTTCTTTGATGCGGGTGCAAGGGGTGAGGGGAATTATTTTTCTAACCCTTAATCGCATTGCGGGAAGTCCTCGGGGCGGGAGGGGGGTGGAATTTTTTTTACCTTTCTGACCCTAAATCGAATTGCTAAGCGTACGAGGGGGGCGGGGGAATTTTTCCTGATCCTTCTGACCTTCAATCACATTGAGGTAAGTCCAAGAGGGGAGGGGGGGGGGGAATTTTCCCTGACCCTTCTGACCCTTAATTGCATTGCGTGAAGTCCATGGGGGGAGCGGGGATTTTTTTGACCCTTCTCACCCTGAATCGCATTGTAGGAAGTCCAAGAGGGGGAGGGGGATTTTTTCATGACCCTTCGAACCCTAAATCAAATTGCGAAAGTCCGAGGGGGAGGGGGGATTTTTTTCCGACCCTTCAGATCCCAAATCTGATTGTGGCCGATCCGAGGGGCGAGGGGAATTTTTTTTTGACCCTTCTGACCCTAAATCGGATAGTTGGGTGTATGGGGGGGAGATTTTTTTTACCATTGTGACCCTAAATCGGACTGTACAGGACCCGAGGGGTAAGAGAATTTTTTTTTCTGACCCTTCTAACCCTAAATCAGGCGGGGAGGGAGAATTTTGGGTTTTTCGTTGAGGATGCAAGGGGGAGAGGATTTTTCCTGACCCTTGTGACCCTTAATCGCATTGTGGGAAGTCCGGGGGGGGGCATTTTTCCTAACCCTTCTGACCCTCAATCACATTGAGCGATGTCTAAGGGGGGCGAATTTTTTCTGACCCTTCTGACCCTAAATCATATAGTTGAGGGTGCGATGGTCAGGAAGGGAGGAATTTTTTGACCCTTCTGCCCCTTAATCGCATTGTGGTAAGTCCACGGGGGGTGGGGAATTTTTTTCCTGACTCTTCTGACCCTCAATTACATTGCGGGAAGTCCAAGGGGGGAGGAAAATTTTTTTCTGATCCTTCTGACCCTAAATCGAATTGCGAAGGGTGCGAGAGGGGGGAATTTGTCCTGACCCTTCTGACCCTCAATTTGATTGTGGGAAGTCCAAGGGAGATGGGGAATTTTTCCTGACTGTTCTTACCCCAAATCGGCTAGTTGAGGGTGCGATGGTGAGGAAGGGGGGAATTTTGAGGTCCTTGTTGTGGATGCAACGGGGAGAAGATTTTTTTCTGACCCTTCGTACCCTTAATCGTATTGTGGGAAGTCCAAAGGGGTGGGAGGGAATTTTTTCTGACACCTTTTGAGCTTAAATCTTATTGTGAAGGCTGCGTAGAGAGGGGGGAGGTAATTTTTGGTTCTTGGTTGAGGGTTACAGGTAGTGAATTTTTTCTATACGCTTTTAACCCTAAATCGGACTGCTGATGGTCCGATGGGAAGGGGGGATGAATATTTCGGAAACTGTAGAATCTTCTGCCCCTAATAGGTTATTTTGGAAATTGAATGCCCGACCCGTTCAGGACGGGGATTTTTCGAAAATTGCTGACTCTTCTAACCATGTTGGCCCTGATTCAGATTGTGAGAAAAAAATGTAGGAATCGAGATTGAGTTGGAAATTTTTCAACTAATGACTCATTTTGGAAATTAAGTGCGTGATTGCCGAGGAGGCATTGATTCCCACTTTGCCCATGTGTCTAAAATCACTGATTGTTCTGACTCAGATTCCCGATGCAAAGCGACGTTCTATCATTTGAATTCTCATGATGGGCGAGGGGGCTTACTTAAGCTGCATAAGGGCCCTAAAGTTAAAAAGAGATCTTTGATCAAGCGGAATGTCATGATGGGAGTTCAAATTTTAGCAAAAACGAAGGTTTCTACGATTTTCTTCACATATTTTCCTTTCCGGAAAGGAATAATTTACGTTTGTGGAGACATGTACCAACATTTACATTTACAGTAATAATTTTCATAACATTCATACTATAGCATCTTTATTGGGAAGAATGAATACATTATTTTACAACTCAGTTATTCAGTAAATTTCAAATTGGGAAATGGCTTAAACATTGAAATTGAAGAAATTGGAATAGAGGATTAGAAATGGTCTTTCGTAATTTGTAATATCCATTTAATCCCATTTTTAT